AAGTAATGTTGTAGTAAACAGTATTATTTGCTCATTCCGTTACAGATTTGAAGAGGTGACTTGGTCGATAAAGAGGTGAGAAAGGATGAGAATCGAAGCTGTTATTCATTACGAGTAGTTATCTACATTTTGATGCCATGTAATAGACTGATATGATGGGTTGAGAGTGTTGTCTGTACGCAGTAAGTACTATTCGAGGGTCTCGAGAGCTACTAAGGTACTGTTTACTAGCCCGTTTGGAGGGTTCCAAGAAGATTTGACTGGACGGAATCATTGATTGGTAGTGTAGGCTTTTAGATGTATTAGGGATATGGGTTTTCGGTTTGGTGTGGATCATGAACGTCGTTTAAGCGGTAGGTTAGTAGGATGAAGAAGATTTTATAAGGTTTATATCGACACGTTGAGATGAAGTGATGGGGAGATAGTAGCAATGGTCGAATTAAAGAAGTATAGGGTAAATCAATATATTATATAATGAAGACTTTTGTTTTTGGGCTCAAATTATAAGTACTTTAGTGACAGACAGGTCTTGGTCGGTTCTGTTTTAATATTGGTGGCACTTGGTATGGTGTGTACATGGGATATCAGTGGGTGCTCTGGAGGAGACAGGTACCTCTCTTAGATCAAACTCATATAAAGGGGCCGAGTTCGACTACTAGTCATTAATTCTGTCTGTTTAGAATGTCGATGGGTAATCATACACCCTGCGTCATACGAAAGCATTGTGTATAAAGGAGTGTCTGTGCCACATGCCATGTTGGTGACACCTCCTCAGTTAACTAGCTATGGCTTGGGCATGTGAAAAGTAGAGACTCGGCCCGAGCACATTTGTGGAAGCTAAGCTTATCATAACACTACGGCGGTATACCTGTGTCCCAATCGCTTGCGGGCATCAGGTACCGGGTAAGATCGTAAGCGCCACTATAGCTCACTTGGACCGGCCACGAGAATAGAACAGTCTCTGTCCGACTATAGTTCTGCTGCCGGATATTAGATTGGCGCCACTTCACTCCTAACGGGTATGCACATCCGCTTGACACTGTGGAAACAATTGCCAGGGTCCAATAGCGCTACCGGTACCCGAGAAATGCTCGGTGCCACCCGGGAAGGTATCAGCAGTTGATAGGGCGACTGACGAGCAAAGACTGCTATCCTATAAATGTTAGTGGCCCCGGACATATGCAGGCCTCCGTCTGGGGTTACTCTCAAGAGCCAACGGCATATCAGTGATTACCCTGTGTCAGGATAGCGCGGATATTGCATAGACCCATCCTCGATCCGGGATACATGAGTGGCCATGTGTTCTTCTCGACTAATTGAGCATAATCCAAGGATGGCCAATCACACATCAAGTCCGCCTGGCTATGGCCACTTCCATCCTAGACAAGACAACGAATAGGATCTGGGCTAATCTCCCAAGACGGACCAATCGATCATGACACGAGCCAGTAATTCTGCACGCAGCCTGCGCTCCCGTTCCTGGGGCCATCTGGAAGCGGTATCGGATCGGTAGTCCGACGTTGCTGCAATGGATAAACGTGTCTGGCGTTGTGGACCTTCTCGAACTGGCTAGAAGCCCACAGGGTCATCGGCAAGATTCCGGTTCGCACAAGGTAGTGTGCAGTACGACTAAACCTCCACGGGCCCACCGGTCTTCGGCATTGTTCTGCACGCGTCAACCAGAAGGCTAAGCTTTGCTTGGCTATCTGATAGTCCGACTATCATTCCTGACTTGACAAGCGCAGATGTACGAGATTTGCGGCGTGATCGACGCGAAGCCCGTGGAGTCATCCCGAGTACCGGGGTTATCCACTTCCCGCACATCTGGAGGCGGATACAGTGATGGCGGACGCTTGGATGCGAGCTCGGAGAGACGTGTCTTCGCTAATGGAGAGAGAGAGGAAGGAGTAATGCTTGGTTGTGAAGAACGGACCAGGGTGTAATTAACCCCTATGCAACCTCAGCTACGGAGTTTGGCAGGTACTCCGGCCACGATGCCGTGTCTTGCCGCTGAGCCGACGGTTGCCGCTCGTGGAGTTGACCTGTGGCTAGGTGCTGTTTCTGTGTACCTAATTTCCAGACATGTTATGGAGCACTTGGAAGGGGCCAGGGGGAACCGTAGCATTGGCATATATAAAGTGGACACCATCTGCTCTTCTTGGTGGATGTGAAGCTTCAATTGAGAGCAGAAGTGACTTTGGATGAAGGAAAATGCAGAGGAAAGTTGTTTGACTGCGAAAAAAACGCCACCAGATTTCCGGCAACGAGCAAAGCAGACAAAACAGACAAACTGAGCCTAAGGCATGACCGGCGATCATGTGTCTACAAAGAACTTCCTGGATCGTCGCTGCCTCATCTTCTACCAGCTCCCCTCCTTTACTTCCTCGGCATACTCATGAACACATGCCTACGATGGTCAACTCTCAGTCTGTTCCTATCAACCATGTTCGCAGGGATTATGGTCTGGCCGTTGAACTCCCCTGAATATCCTGCCTGAGAGCCTACGTCTTCCGATGACGACGTGTCTAGTGGCCGAACCGCCATCCGATATTAGCCTGCAGCCGGGAATAGCCATGGACAGACGATTCCAGAGGTTACTAAATCTTAGCGTATGAGGTGAGCAAGGATATACTCGGCGTTCCTTCTTGGGCCTTCCGAAATCAAAGCCGCCGAACAGTTCATTGTGATCTTAATAAGCTGAGTTAATTTAGCTGCAGGTACGGCTTCGATAAGGGTGGGATATGGACTTCTACAACCTGGTGATTCGGAGATATCCGATTCTCAAATGCGTTCCAATAAAGAATATGAACAATGAAGTGGCCCGGAGTACGGAGAAATTGCCTCTATCGTTGGTCTCTCGTGTCAAGCGTGTTCATGGCTAATAACGTTAAAACATTGACACATCATTTCATGATAACTAACAAGTGAGACATGTGCCACTCATTCCCGAATGCAACCATTCTATCAGGCCAGTGGGGAACGCACGGCTAGCCTCGTCGACCTCCGATGGTTGGTTACTCCCATCAGAGTTTCCTACTGGACCATCTCAGGAAGGTGGAAAAAGCAACTTGGAATGGCACCATTCACCGATACAAAGCGCACTGTTGGTTGCCATTTTACTTTCCCACCCCCTCACCCGCCCTTCTTGCCTACTGGCGCCTGGAAGTGGAATCCTGGAGCAGGAGAGAGGAACGGTAATTGGCAAGCGCTAACCAAATTGCGCCTTGTACTATGGAGCCGGCGCTGCGAGCCGACGCGCCCCATTCCCAAAATGACCTAACGGCCGTGAAGCCGAGGTTCAGGGTGTCCCTACTACTTGCAATGCTTAACAACAGACGGAATAATATTCAAGCCCCATCATTGCACTTGTCAAAAATCAAGAAGCAGCAAATTTGGGCCTGAAGCAAGCCTAGATTGCGATACTAGTCTTTACTGCGAAATAAACTAGTTACTAATGAGGGGTTGCTGATTCGCTGTGGTGTATGTGATATCTGTGTCGAAGGCCCCAGAGAGCTCGACCACTCCCCCGAAGACAAGCCTTGCTCAGACAACCCGGGCTCCACCGCGTGCTGGGTCCACCACTTCTGCTGACCTTAACGCGGGTGCCTGTCGATTATGGGTCAACAGCCAATATGCCTCCTCCGTCCCGGATTGTGAACATATGATAAGGAATGATGTGATAAGGAGGAAAAAGACGGTATGATCTAAAAGCATTGTACGGACATAACAACAGGGATGGAGTGGACCAGTAGGAGCTCCGCCATGATCCTGGTGGCTCGAATCATTCCTGAGGATCCCCCACGGGCTGCTGTTGTGGAAGACGCCTGGGCACACTGGCACCACAAACGCTGGACCTGCATAGATTATGCTTTTCTGGCTTCGGGTCTAGACATGGATGTGATAATATCAACGTGCATCCTTGCTAACAGTCCAACAATAATTCCGGTGATAGCCGCCAGCGCAGGCATTCTATGTCGCATTGCAGGATGCGCCGTTCAAGTGTAGAGATGAGACATGAGGAAAATTTTTTCTCTCCTTGGTGGTAGAAAGACCATTTGAGGAATCTTATAAGGTAATTACCTATGGTCAGTCGCTATGGTCTTGTCGAGAGAAACTCCTTCTCGTTAAGATCTACATGATCGCTTTTTGATTTTCCCTTGGTTCACGCGGTTACTTTCTCCCCGTCAATCTCCAACCGCTGTCATGCCTGACCATCAATTTGGAACGGATAAGGGGAGAGGAGAAATTGGAGGAGCGATCATAAAAAGCTAATTTTGTTTATTACTATTATTATTTTTTTTTTCTAATGAGGGAAAAACGGAAAGAAAAACAAAAAAGGAAAAAGAAAAGCCGTCATCAGTTCCAAAAGACCATCAGCCAAAGATACACGCGAGTTACTGACCTTCTTATCCTGGACTTCCGCCCGATCCATATCTTCATGATAAGCAGGGAACCGAGCAAATCAACGCCAAACTTCAGCGGCAGTTCCTCACTAATTTCCCACTTTCCACCGGCGTCATTTTGGTCCCAACCCCCCTCCCTGGAAGCAGCGGGATTTAGTTACGATCCGGTTTACATCGGAGACTCGGAGAATACCATAGCGCATGCCAATCAGACCCCCTGCCCGGGTGACTGGCCAGTATCGCGACCCATTGTTTCTATCTTTCTAGAAGACCTGCAGGGACATGGATTGGCTGGCTGCTGTGCTGCCGTCATTTAGCGTCTACCCCAGGTCAAGAACGGACTGGACGGACCCATAACCAATCTAACCAAAGCCAATTTCGTCAATTCCCAGCTGGCGAGCACAATCCCATTTCCAGGGTTGGCCGCCAACTGTTAAAAGGCACTATGCGTCTCTCCACCTGCCCGCCCCTCGAAGGCCTGCGCGTAGTAACTATTCTACTGCTTTTTTTGCCTCTTTTGCCCTCTTGATTTATATTCTACCCTACTCTCCAAATTGCCTGCCATCAATTGGTCCAAACTGGACTTCGTTTGATGACATGACTCGCACCGTGGACGAGATCAAATACGAGACCCCTTCTTCATGGGAGCACAAGAGCTTGGACGTTGCCGAGGATGGCAGGCGACTAGCTCCCCATTCCGACACAGCTCGTCCGAAAGGCCGGATACGACGATCCATGACTGCCTGTCACACATGTCGGAAGCTTAAAACAAGATGTGATCTAGATCCGCGCGGTCATGCGTGCCGTCGCTGTCTATCTCTAAGGTCAGTAGCAACTCATACTTGCCATTTCGAATTTTGTTTGTCCTATTGGGCGCGACATGAATTTAGTCGTGGAGTGTAACTGTCCCGATTTTGCTGACAGTCCACGATTTCTGTAGAATCGATTGTAAGCTGCCAGAAACGACCGATCGGTTCCAAGACAGTGCTGCGATGTGGCCAGACGCCACCTCGGCAATTCCCTCCATTGAGGAGCGCCTCACCTCCCTAGAACGATCCATGAGGGAGATGACGGGCATGATGCGGCAGATGCTAGATCACTCCCCAGGTTTCGCAAATACTTCAATTCCGCACTTGACAAAAAGTATCATGACGGATGATACTGCCTCCATGGAGGGAAGCCCGTCGTCTCCCTTCCTGCCTAAACCCGTTCGCCTCATTCAGGACCTCCAGTCCGACTTCTTCGGAGAAGCAGAAACTTCCCCCGTTGACTCTCCCCTCTCCAGTGACGGTGCCGCCAAGGGCGCTATCGACTCCAAACTATCCCTCAAATTGTTGCAAACGTATGAGCCTACCTGATAGACAACTACCAAGATAGCTGCTAATGCTTGGCGCAAATCAGGTTTGTCGATCACTTCGGTGCCTGCGTTTCTATTTACAATCTCTCCGATATCCACAATGACATGAAAGCCCCCGACTCTCTACTGTATAATACTGCATGCCTTCTAGCTTCACGCTATGTCCCGGGGATACCAGCGTCTGCTGTGCATGCTCTATATCTTCAAGTGCGACATGCGGTAGTCAACATCTTGTGGGAGAAACCTCCCCTGAAGTATGAGACCCTCCAAGCACTTGCACTTCTCTGTCTCTGGCCAGCAACCGCCCAGAAAGAGCCACCCATGGACAGCTGGCTGTTGAGTGGCATCTCAATCAACCATGCGATTATTGCGCTTGAGTTTATAAACTATGCGCCCTCGGAAGTTGTGGTGGACAATGAAACGGCTGCGCAGCTGCGGCTATGGAATACATATTGCTTGACACAGCTACAGTGGGTTCCACCTGATACCTCCTGTACCCAATATAGCTAACACACATTAGTTTTGCGGTCGGCAATGCGCGTCCATTCCATATCCAGCAGAGATACCTTGATCACTGCCCACGGATACTGGAGCACCCCGCAGCAACCTTGGAGGACGCCAGGGTTGTCGCGGAAATACAGCTCTATTTGATTACATTGCGGCTCCAGAGCAATAGCAGTCGAATGCGGTTGGCGGACCTTGACTATGAGGAAATCGAGCGATGGAAGAGGGAGTGGGCTCACCTTTTCTGTAAGAAGCCTGCCAGTATTTCCCGGGGACTACCACTGACGAGAGAAACAGCTGGTGAAAGTTCCACATTGGAGCTGAGCCTTTGGTTCTGCCAGACACTCCTTCACCGCACAGCAATGAGGCTTCAGCCCAGATCCGACAGGCTCGCATCTGAGGTTCTGCAAACCTCACGTCTGATCATATCGCGATTCCTCCAGATCCGGTACTCTACCGCATTGAGCCTTGTCGACCAGGTCTACTTCATTGTCGGCTACGCTGCTCTGAATTTGTGTGATTTCAACCTCATGGACCCGCTCATCGAGCAGGTGCAGATGTTCCTGCTGCATCTCGCGCCCAACGAAGACCATATCGCATACCGGTTTTCGTGCATGGTCGCCGAGTTCAAGCGGCGATGTAGCAGTGCGGAATGCAATGATCCGTCGTCCACGGTCAAAGGGTCTCCGTTGTCATCCTACGGCGACAGTCGTAAGATGAGCATGGGTCAAGCACCGTTCATGCCACCGCTCATGGATGGCATGATCGAGGGGTACGGCTTCGAGCAACTGATGCCAGAAGTCATGCCGAGTTCTTTTCCGGATGGGATACTCAACGGAATGCCTGTGACTGGGCTAGCAGCGTATCGGTCAGCGACGCTGTAATAATTCAATGAGGTCAAGCAGGAGAGGGACATAGGTGGGGTGGGTATGGTAATAGCAGTAGTACCACCAGGGATAACCTGCCTGCAGTGGTGTGGTGATTTAGTTTCTGCCCATGGACTGGGCTGAACCTAGCATGATGACGTGCAACGAAAATGATAATATCCAAGGCCTGGCACTAAACAAACAAAGATAAAATAATATATTTTAATCCACGATCCACCACTACCACTACCACTACCGCCGGATCCATCAGGTAGTTACTTATTTAGTTAGTTCAGTTGCCTTCCTGCACAGTCCTATTTAGTTAGAGGGGCCCGTGCCACGAATCATCACGTAATTGAGCGAAGTGCAGTGCCGCTTGCTTTTCCTTGCAACTTACAACAGTTACCTTCACATGCCAAACTACTACTTACTCCTACCACAGACCACCAGGCTGCAGTAGGCCCCAGCCAGCCACCATTTCCTAATCGGATAAATCTCCGACACCTGCCTATTACTATCCTATCCTATCCTATCCTATCCTCCTTTTCGGACCGTTCCGTGCTTCCGCGGAAGACAACAACATTCCATGTCATTCTGCTACCCAGAGGGGAGGGGTGCGAGCAAGGAACCAATCTGTACTACTGTACTTACCTACTAACTTATTCACTTGTTTGTCAAATTAGTACATTCTAGGAAAGAGTACTGGGTAATCGTCATCGAAGAGAAAATAGAAGATAGATAATTCTCCGATCGATCGGGTAAGTACATACTAGTAGTAAGTAGTAGTATGTCCTTTGACCCCCCCTTTTAACTCCACTCCACTTCACTCCCCTCCCCGGTAGTAAATGATGATGATGCGGTGGCTGCTGCACTGCACTGCTGCACTGCAGTACAGTCAGTCAGTCAGTCACTCACTCACTAAGGAACGAGGTACTGAGGAGGGGGCAGTGGGAGTGGGAGGCAGAGAATTACTACCTACTACTTACTCTTATAAGTCGATCACTACCTAACCATCTATCTATCTAGCTATCTATCTGTGTAGAGAAAGGAGGTGAGAGAGTAGGCGGAAGGAGAGGGGGGTGTAGTTAGAGGGATAAACTTTTTGTTCTTGTTCACTTAATTAATTTAATTTTTGGAGTAAGTTGGGTATTTTCATGTCACTTACTGTTTTGGGGGGATTTGACAGGATGATCGATTTGATTGATTGATTGATTGATTGATTGATGCTGCAGATAGTAGGTCGTCTTGTCATCTCGCTTGCCCCGCCCGTAGATGGGTTGTATTCGGATGAAGATACTCGATGGAGGAAGGTAGGCGGTTCTTTTTCTTTTCCCTTTTCTTTTCTTTTCTTTTTCTTTCTTTTCTGAATGAATAGGATTTATCTATGCTTGTATGTAGTATTATTGATTTGCTGCGGAAATTGGCTGGTGTTGATGATAGTAGTAGTTAAGTTTAATCCGTTGTTTCGTGTGGTTGTAGTGACCGACCTTGGCTTTGATACACTAAGGACTAGGTATCGGTATTACTACGTCCGTGGTATATATTTTATCCACCCTAAATGCAAAAGGAAATGGGTACTACTCAATTATATAAAATGTTCTTGAAGAATCCATTACACATAGAAATATTCCAGCACCTATCAAAATCCACTAATAGGACAAGGCATACTGAGACATCCCAATCACGTCATTATAGCAATAAGCACCTGAGCGAAAATTCTACAAATCAATGTCAGCATCTAGATCACGATCACGGAGGCCAACTTCTAGTGAATGATACACTTACACAGTGTAGCTCAAGAACAACATTACTCCCCCAGCATGCTTGAAGACGCTCATCGCGGAACCTGTGCGGATATGTCAATTTATCAATTCACGAACAATGTATGTGATGGACACGCATATAAACATGGCTTTTTCAAACAGATAGGTAGGAACTAACTGCAAAATGAGCTTCCATTAACCAACCTATCCGCGGGATAGAGGATCCGTGGTAATCCGCTCTTCATGGGGACTGGCACCGAGCCATTTGAGTCGACTGTCAAATTCGAGCAGGTATATATCTCCATGACCTTTTGACCAGCGGTGTAGCCTGTTCCCGGGAGGGAGAGAGTGTACGAGGACCCAGAGGCGCCGAGATTGGAAAGAACCGTGATGGTTTGGGTGCCGTTGTAGCCTTTGCGCATGGCAAGAGTCGAGGTGTCTTGGTAAATCGGGTAGTTCTGCGATAGAGTTCCACAGTTAGATGCACTACGCAACGCAAGGATTTAATGGTGGCTCACTTTGTAGGTGAGATATCCGCTGTCTTGGCTTATAGCGTGGGTACGGATCTTGTTCGATGTGGCGATATGAGTGTAGAGCTCGCTGGTGGTCTTGTAGCCCGAGAGCCACGTCGCTTCGCGGTTGTAGGGATCATTGCCCCCGCTGTAGTGCTGTTCCTGACCGGCGTATATAATGGGGATGCCGTCGGCTAGGATGGTGAACGTTGCGGCATTTTTGGCTAAGGACATGTCGCTTGTGTAGCTTCGGGGGTAAGCTAATGTGCTCGTTACGATGAAGTTGGAAGGAGATGCTTACTTGGCGAAGCGAGGGTTATCGTGGTTCTCGACGAAAGTCCCCAGAAGCGTAGAATCTCTGCAGGTAGATTTAACGGTGTTGATCATGTTATAGAGGTCGCTGATACTGCCATTGGTGGATTCGAAAGCTCGGAGGAGTGGATAGTACCTATTGCAAGTCATTGGCGAGCATTCATCGGGGTTATGCGTATGGCTTACATTGGGTAATTGAGCACTCCGTCCAAGTCATCCTGATAAGGACAGGTGTATGCGGCGTCTCCATCGAAGACTTCTCCGATACAATATACGCCTGAAGCATTATTGTAGCCGGGCCAGAAGTTCTTCTGAACGTTCTTGACTGTGTCTATACGGAGGCCGTCGACTTGATATCTGTTAGACTATGTCCTATAAATGGTAGCAAATATTGAAGCAGAGGTAGGAATACCGGAGTAGTTAGAGACAAGCGTCTCGACCCAGTCATACCACATATTTTTCACATCCGTACGGGTAGTGTCGAGATCCGGCAAGGCGACGGTGTTGTCGCCTAGCCAGCAGTCTTCAACATTTGTCTGATTGTTGTAATTAGAGATCCAACAGAAGTTGTGAAAGTACTTTTGCGAGTTAAATGGCCTATAGACACTGTAGTCCACAGAGTTTCCCGTGCCATTGTGACCCTATCGTTGTCAGATATGAAGCCAACTTTCTGGGGGGACTGAGAACATACCATGTGATTGGCAACGACGTCCACCATGAGGTACATGCCCCGTGAGTGAAGAGCTGAAGCCAGAGCTTTGAGATCGTCTGCTGTACCATAGTGGGAGTTGAGGGCGTAACTGTCTGCATGGTAAGAAGGAAATACATGCACTGGGGTGATAGAGGTAACATCTCACGCATCCTGCTGCCAGTATCCGTGATATGCCTGTCCGTAACCGGTATCTTGGGGGATCTGTTCAGTTACTGGTGTGATCCAGATCGCTGTAAAGCCCATTCCTTGGATATAATCCAGCTATCGAATGTTAGATTCCCAGACTGGCGTTGATAGAGGTAGTGCTGCAACGACGATGGACCGACCTGGTTGATGATGCCCTGCCAGGATCCACCGCAATATTGCTACGATTGTCAGCGGGTCATTTGCAAGATCTAGTTCATGCTGCGACTAACCCGGGCGCTCAAATCACACGAAGCAGTGGTAGAATTATCGGTTCGTGCAAAGCGATCGGTCAGCAGGAAATAGATCGACTGGGAGCGCCATTCTGCAGGCGTGGCTGCCAGAGCAGTGGCCAAGAAACTGAGGAAGAACAGAATGATCGTCATTCTTCTGGTCAGTTTCTGTTTGACTATACTTATATTTAAGGAGCAATTCGCTCTAATGAAGGGAGGATGATATGATTTATACTAGGCTATCCATAGCCGGTCAGCTCCTTCGGATTGAGTAAGGCCAACATGACAATGTGAGTTGTCACTTACTATCGGAAGACTATTCGACGGGTCCGATCCCAGAACTCTATAAATAGCGATTACATGCGTCTCCGTGTCTTGGAAACTAGGCTGCCTATTAACGATGTACCCGACCGTCAGCTAGATGGGAATGAAAGACTTCACCTATGAACGGATAAAGATGCGGGGGATTTCCATCGGGCCCTGGCGATCATGGGTGGATGTCGTTGACTGGCAGGGGTTCTCAGCGAATAGTGGCCACAGGCCGGCGGTTTCCTCCCCGGCGGCCTTTTTTTTGGCAACTACTATACAGAGCTGCGCGTCAGAAAGAGTACCTTCCCTGGTGACTCGTCAACGGCTGGGTGTTGTCAGGCCCGTTTACAGAACATAGTTATACAGGAATGCCGTGGTGGGCGGTAAAAGAAAGGTTGATGTTAAAATTTGTATTCTAACCAAATACCTACATTGCAGGACATTAACTGCCCTACCTATCTTGCATGCTGTACGCGCACACCTGGCTTGTGTCTGACACTACCATTCTAGCACCCAGTTCTCCGCCCATGCGCCGCCATTCGTCAAGTTCTGCAACCCCCCAACGAACAGAACCTGCGACGTGGAGTTGTATGTGATGGATCCTGGCGATACTGTCTTTCCATTGAGAGTCACCGCAGATGGCTCCTTGTTCACTCCGAGCACCGTCACATTAGCAAGCGGGTTCCTTTCTTTCCATCTCCCTTGCGCTGACGAGCGCAGGCTTGACCGTGATGCGGTGAAGCCCACACGAAGTGTGGCATTGGGATAAATGCTCTCCCCATCATCGAGGTAGAGCTGCCCCGACGCGGTTCCGTTGCTTCCTAGTGCGGCCAACAAAGCCCAGGGAGTTTGCCGGGCTCCACGAGTGGTCAATGCTGGCTCTTGCATCGGCAAGATGTTTCCACCTCGTACATAAACGGGAATGTGGCCCAATGGTGCCGAGATGGTCGTGTTGACTCCGGGCTTCGCATCAACTGCAGCCTGGGTGTACCAGTCGTACCACACTTCGCCATGTCCAACCCCCGGGAATACGCCTTTGACCGTATTGACCAGAGGCTCCAGTACCGGAATCACCATGATGGCCGGTCCGACCATGAATTGGGTCTCAACCGCAGCCAAAGTTGGGTCGTTGGGGAACTCCCAGGAAAGTGCGCGCATTACAGTGGACCCCGTAGTGTGGGCCAGGTCAAACAACGTATAAAAGTAAGGTAAGATAGCGTACCGAATCCTCATCGCGGACTTGGTCGCTTCAATAACAGAAGCCCACCGATAAGGCTCCTGTGGGATTGTGGAGAGCTCATTGTGGTTTCGGTAGAATGGAAAGAATGCGGACAGTTGCATCCATCGGTTGCAGAGCTCCTCATCCGAGTTTCCGGTAAACCCACAGGTGTCAGCACCAAACATGGGAATGCCGAAGAGCGAGAAGGAAAGGGCTTGTGAGATGGAGTAGTACATGGACCACCATTTGGAATAATTGTCACCGCCCCAGTGGCCCGCCCATTTGCCAGAGCCAGCGAAAGTTGAGCGGCCAATGATAAATGGCCGCCGCTCATGAGACCAGACCTCAAGCAGACCATGGTAGGTAGCGTTCAATCCTTGATGCCCGTAGAGACCGTGTACATCATATTCCTCAACACCATCAATATGGGTTGCGTTTGGCGACACTGCATGGACGCTGAGATCATGGCCTTCTTGATCATGGTTGATTACATAGGGTGGGTGCTCCACATTGCGAACACCAGGCGTGGGCGTTGTGCGCAGATATGACACCGAGGTCGACGTGCTGGTTGCGGTTGCTGCGGCCTGGCTGGAAGCGCCTGCCGACGCCGACGCCGCCTCTGTAGCGTTGGTAATATTGAAAGCCTCCGGGTAGTCATATATGATATCGCCAGGCTCACCGGGGAGAAGGAACGGTGGGTGTGCCGGGTTAAGAGTCAGGTTCCCGGTGCCACAGCTCCCGACACAGAAGGATGAAACTTCAGACATGTCGTACCACACTCCATCGAACGCCACTTTCTTCGACCAGATGACCAGTTCGTTGGCCCAGAACTCCACTGCCTTGGGGTGATGCCAGTCAGGGAAGACTGTATATCCTGGCCAGACGGCTCCGATATAGAGGCTACCATCGGGGTTCTTGAGGAAGACGTCATCCGCAGCTCCTCTGTCATATGTAGCGTATCTGTATTGCTTATTAGCACATGGACAGCTATATAAGTTGACATGGTACACTTACGCATCAGAGGCATTTTCGGGATTAGGAATGTAGAGTGCCGCATCAACAATGGGTACATAGTAGCGTCCGCTCTCATGTAATTTGCTGAGGAATTCGTCGCCCTCGCTGTAGGAAAAGCGATTCTGATCGTTATCGAAGTTGCGATATCCGTGCATGTAGTCGATATCGGTCCTATATAGATGTCAGTCCGGTTTTAGACATAATGGACAGGTACAATACGCACCAGATATATTCCAGCGGGATCTCGAACTTCTCAAAATTCGCGACAACGTCTGCCAGATCCGACCAGTTGTTGTAGCCCCAGCGACATTGGTGGAATCCAAGAGTACTGTATTGTTGCATGGCCGGTAATCCCACGGTGCTGGTAAGATATTGCCTGGTGACATCGGCCGGGTTTGGGCCCGAGTAAAATGTCAAATCGATTCCTCCACCTAGGGTCCGCCAGATCAACTTCTGGGGCCGGAGGAGTATCTCCAAGCCATGAGAGTTTCTTAGAAACACGCCATGGGAGAGGGAAATATATTTTTGCGAGGCATCGGTCTCGCTGCTTTTGACCGGAACATAAGATCCATTTTGCCTGTCTCCCTTGTAATACCTTGTATCCAGATAGAAGGGATGCTGGCCGTAGATGTTTCTAGGAAGAGTAAGTGTCAGGAGTGGAGCCAAAGATGCGGGTCTAATCGGCACTCACTTGTCAATAGGAGTCCCATCATCCGAAGGATATATGGTGAGATTAGCATCTCTCTGGAGGCGAAACTGGGTGATATGCTCCCCAAGGCCATACAAGTTATACTCCTCGGGAAGAGCCGTTACAAATTCGATAAATTGGTCTTCATAAACAAGCACGGTGCCTTCTGTACTGAAGAGAGCGTCGCCTGTAGCCTTTCGGATCACCTTGAAATTGAACGACGGCTCATTTGACCATGACACAGAAAAATCGCTGTCGGAAACAGATGCATTCAAAGAAGCTTTGGGCCTAGGCACCAGATTCTCTGAAAGAAAGTACCAGGACGCATTTGTGGAGTCAACATGAGTGGGAAGAATCTGAATGTTCAATCGATCCGAATCCTGGTACTCCACAGACAGTGTCAAGGAGTCAACATCTGTGCCGTATACGTTACATGGCCTGCCCGCGAGCTGAAGACTAGCAGTGAATCCACGTGAATTGTGCTGCACTTTTGAGGCCTTGTAGCCCGGACAAACCGACTGCGCGTTGGCAGCCTGTGGATCATCGATGTTGGCAATCAGCTGCGCACCGACATCTGCAGAAGCAGGAATGGTGAACTGAGGCTGCGAAGAAGTAGTGGTGGATAAGCGCGACTGGCTCGCCCCATAAGCCAGAGGGACAAGCCAGGCTCTGGCGAGGAGATCAGTCAACTTCACCATGGCTCGCTTAAAGAGGCACGAGGCACGGTCGCGTTATCATTGATGAGAATGGAGCAGCTATAACCCGTATGTATTCAAGGAATTCTCGTGTTATTTATACATAGCTGGGCTGAGGCGACCGGATCATCACTACTAGGAGTAGCCTCCTATTGACATGACGCTGTGCGACCGTATCTGAAGGCTCATTGCGCCGGTGAATTCCCGACGTGTAAGGGGCAAACGGAGATACATTTTTATGGATTGCGGAGAATCGGCAAAGCTAGCGAGCGAATTGAGTTCATTATGACCGAAGAAGAGGAAGAGAATGGGGCAGGTAACGAGCAAGCACCTACCTGATTGAAGATATTGTTGGGCTGGTACTACAGCACCTTATTGTAGGCGAGGGACAACTGGAGAAGCATCGACCCCAGTTGGCGGGGGAGCCTGGGGATTCTCCAACGATGATTTGTTGCATCGGAGAGACGAGAGTGGATACTGCCGAGTACCGTATTGATGCCTGAGAGGCCTGGCAGCCAGACAATCAGATGATGAGCGCACGTTGATTGGCTCTCATCCCGATAAATCACCGAGACCCCCTCAATTCGGGCTTCGGCTCTGACGATTCTTGTGCTCCAATCCAGTTGACAATCGCGACCCGACCACTTCGCGCGGCGCCTTTTCCCACCTTCCCCAGAATGCTCCCGGTGAAGAATCTCAATACCACACTTTTCGATGCTGGCTGGTTTGAAAACTAGGTGGCACTCAATCTTGATTTCCAAACCTAAAATGAAGGGCATTGAAGGCGGGGACGAATGAAGATGGGATCTACTAGTGAAGACACATACCAGGGGCCCTGACTGCGAGGCATTTAATGGCTTTGATAATCATCTCATTCCTGGGTCACATATTCTCGGCTTCCCGAGTGGGATGTTGTTCATCAGTGTTACGTGAAAGCTCTTCCGGTCCATCATTAGCATGAATCCCATCGTCAGCGAGTCTCTGACTCTGTCAGCTTTTGCCATAGGAATTCACCATGACAATGCTCTGTGCAGGGGTGCTGATTCTCCGAAAGTACTCCGTAGCGCATGGATGATATCCTTGGTCGAATGATGGATCCTTCAGGCCGACCCAGCGACTGATAGTATCTCACACCACCCTCGCACACAAAGGGTCGCCGGAGGGAAAAGGGTCGTCTGCAGGCAATATCTTCCATGATGGCTCCGTGAACCATATCCTGGCACAGCCTACACTTCTTTCGCCGTTAAAGGAGATGACTTCGGCCATTTCGTCTGGAGTATACCTGACCCGCGTCATGGCTCGGGCGGAGGGTCCACCTGCTAAGCCAGGAAGTCTTTCTGGGACTAAAATACTAGTAGCTCCAGTCGAGGTGATAGCCTCTTTGGCTCGAACAACGGGCCGAAATGAACAGGCCAGTCGTAGCAGGTTAATAGAAAGTGGCTCATACCGCGGGGTCCGGGTAGCCTGGAGTTGCCGACTTTCTCACGGTGTCGCTTCCCCGCCGCCCTTCCCCAGATTTCTCTCCTTGGTCTCCCCTCCTTTAGCAATCGCATGATTCTCGGTGACTGCTCACCTTGTGGCCATCTTGACCACCGAAACTTGTCCGGCGAGCATCACTCTTTCTCAGAATACAATGAAGTCTCCAGAGTCTCGCTCCACTGCTGTTGCTACTGCTAACTTCTGACGGGAGTCTCACACTTATCACCGCATACAAATGGACTCACATCCTTCCCCCACCAAGCAAAAGGCCCCCAAGCAAGCCTGCGACAACTGTCGTCGACGTAAGATCAAATGCTCGCGCGAGCTGCCCTGCGATAAGTGTCGACGCCTGCTTCTTTCTTGCTCCTACAGTGATGTGCTCCGGCGCAAAGGGCCCAAGTTTCGCACCTTATATCCGCTTGCGCCCATTCATCCACTGGTATCAAGACAACAGAATCCATATCAACACAATCCGTCACATAATCCACTGAACAAGCAATGGACTACAGATGGAGTGGGCTATCCGTTAAGCTCACCACTGTCGCCTTCCTTTACAGTGGCAGACCCTCAATACTTACCCCATGACGCCCCTGAGCCGTTTTCTCAGCTTCCTCCGCCAGAGCTAGTCTCCTCGCCCGATTCAACCAATTCATTGTCAGACTCTAGTATGGCACTAGTGCGCCCTTATGCACGACGCCTGTCCGCTCCGGTGCTACTGGCTCATGTGAACGTTTATCTGAAGTATCTGTTCCCCATCATGCCTGTGGTCCGGAAGGAGGAGCTCCAACAAGATTGCCACCAGCCTGAACGTTTGTCGCCCCAACGGTATGCCTTTCTTGTCGCCCTATGCGCAGCCACACACATCCAACTCAAGCTGGATGGCACAGCATCTGTCCCAGAACCTTCACACCTGCAAGCCGGGATTGACGGGCATTCCTGGATGTCCGGCGAAGAGTTGCTGGCTGAAGCAGTACGCGCAAGGAAGGATTGCGACCCAGTAGATGGAATGAATATAGAAAGTCTTCTTACGTCTTTCTTCCTGTTTGCTTCGTATGGCAATCTGGACAGACAGGACCATGCCTGGTTCTACCTCTGTCAAGCAACTTCCATGGTCTTCACGCTGGCACTCCACCGGGAATCAAGTTATGTGGATCTGAGTATCGAAGAAGCCGAGGAACGGCGCAGGGTGTTCTGGCTACTGTTTGTCACAGAAAGGTAGATGCGTCCTCGGAAAGCATTTACCAGTCTTCGACTAATATGAATTAGGGGCTACGCACTTCAACAAGCGAAACCGGTAATGCTGCGCAATTCGATCCGCAAGCCGCAAGTACTTTGCTCCGAAGATCCTATCTTAGCATACGGTTTCATCAATCTTATCAGCATCTTCGAGAAATTGACCGTCAACCTCTATGACTGGGTCTCTGCGGGAGGCATGGACGGCTCGTCCGAGATGCCCCCTACGTCTGCTATTCAATCTAGTCTCTGCAACGCGATCTCGGTCGACGGAGTTTCGGAGATCCAAAAGGTCGACATACTCATCACCCAGCAATGGCTACAGACAGTAATGTGGAAACTTTCCATGACTCGCGCCACTCAGCCTGGGTCTCGCGATGAGGCAGTCCTCCCCTTTCACCTCCCCGTCCTTGTCGGCAAAGCCGTTATGAACGTTATTGGTGCTGCATCCCAGGGAGCTGTTGACGCTCACGGCATTGGCATGGTTAGTACATCAGTTCCAACTTAGCACATGCCAATGCCAATTACTAACAACAACATAACAGGAACAAAAACTATTCGACCTGGGTTCCTCAGTCGCAGACGTGGCACGATCGCTCAATACTAAAGCCGCGCACCGTCTTACTGAAGCGGCCGTCGATCCCCGCGAACTCCTTTGGGGCATCCTCACCACCTTATCACGCATCCGCGGCTCTCAGTCGTACCTCTTCCCCTCATTGTTGGAGCGATGCAAAGGTGCTATGGATTTCACCTCCCCCACGTCAATGGGCAATTTCCTCCCTCCATTATCCACTGCCCCCACATGGGAAGAGGAAACCGGGCTCGCCGTTGTTACTGTTCCGGAGAATCCCGATTCCCATGAACCAGAGACAGCACTAATGGAGCCACTATCGCAACTTCTACCCACTCCACAGGTGCAATTTCCGGAAAACAATCTTTTGAACTAAGAAAGGAACTACGATGATGACGATGCTGGCATTAATTCGAGTTTGTTACGACTTTGCTTTTGTTATGATACCATTTATCTGGAGACTATGTGGCAATGTATACGGCATGAAGGTGAATTGTATGTAATAAAGCATGTATATAGATGATGAGACTATCTATTTATTATCGATTGTGGTCGAATATTAGCTCTATCACCATGCGTTGTGCACTTAAAAGGGAAGCCATCGCGCCATTGTAAGTGAATTCATAGAAGCGAAATGGACTTATTCAAAACATCATTTCTTTATTTCAGTCTAATTGCGCTATACAAAGCAACACACCCGGGTCCATCAAAAATAAATGTACAATTGGTATGAAAGTGTAAGGGAAAAAAAAAGTAAGAAACCCAAGACTATGTACCTGTATCGCGCACGAATCTGATATCATCCCAAGCTAAACAATCAAGTTTCATGATCTATGCGCCGTAAAAAAAGAAGAAAAATTATGAACGTGGCTAGCGTAGAAGAGGGGGTTGAGGGGGATACCCCTTTTCATATATAAGTGAAGAAGTCAGGGAGCGGGACATGAGATAGAACCTGTAGCTTGTAGAAGCAATACAGGTGGTTTTGAAGATGGATGAAGGCGGGGCGGCAGGAGGAGAATGGGAGGGATTGTGCGAATAAGTGTTGCGCCAAATCTTAATGCAAACAGGCGGGCGTTCTTAGGCTGCTCGCCAGATCAACTCTAGAACTTGATCACCTTTCTCCGGGTCACGGTGGACGTACCATTGACGGACGCGGTTTCCGTCAATGATGGCGTCTTCGTGCAGGTAGCTAATCTTTCCCTCGTCCTTTAAGCGGAGAGGACCAAGCTCATGCAGATATGACTCGAAAACAGCACCGTTGTGGCTGTCCCACGTGAGCTCCATGCTTCTGTCGCCTGGCTTCTTCTCGCTGCTATACTTCACCACCGAGAAGCCGTTGGTGAGGATCCAGCCATCTCCAAAGTGCCATTTCCGCAGGAGACAAGAATCACCGCAGATTTCGGTGACCGCACTGGCTTTGGCCATGTCCGCGTGGAACCAAGACTTCCAGTGATGCACTGACAGCGGTGGTTGCCGTTCCGCCTCGAAAAACCCAGACACATCGCCCATCATGTCGAGCTGGTGCAGGCGGTGGTCGATGGTCAAACGAACACTGGTGTACTGGTAGATGCAAAGAGAGATTCTGCGGTCGCCCGTCACATCCATTCTCTGGCAGTCCTCGAATACTTCCGGCCGGCTCAATTCTTGGATCAGAGGCCGGGACAAGAAGACGCCTGCGCCTCCAAATCCCATCAATCCAAACACTCCAACCTGGGGAATACTTTCAGACAGTCCACCCACGTACATGGGTTTCGTTTCATCATACTCCTTGAGCCCTTTGACCAACTCTGGCATCGAGAGGAAGAATGTATCATCGTCCATGACGCACGACCACTTCGTTTCGGGACGCGCATTCTTGGCCAGGTGAGGGACCAGCGAAAAGTATCGGCGCTGGTACTCTTCACTCGACTCCGATATTGAGAGATTTATTCCAAGCGCATCGGCCTTGAGCAACACCTCGTGTGCCCTCTCATCGGGCTCAACCAAGGCAAAGATATGAGCATTTGTATAACCCGCCCAATGAGAAAACGCGTCCAGGGAGTCGTTCAGCCGTTCTATCGTCGTAGCGACACCGAAGTCGATGTGGGACGCATCCGCATGTCTGGGGGGTATCGGGACTTGGAGGGACACCGGGTTTGGTATTAAGCAGTCCTCATGCAAGAGCTCCTCCGGTAGATGAAGTTGGTCGCCATGGGGCTTTTGCGGGAATAAAGGAACTTGGAGACGTTGTGACAGCGGCAAGACGTTGCTGGGAGATTCAGAGGCGACTACTTCGCGTCGCACGTACTGGGTCAGTTTCTGGACATTCAAGCGGCGGAGAGCCTCGAAGTCCGGCTGGCAGCCAACATCGGAGGTGATGGTAATGTTGGAAACAGTTTCCGTGGTGACCGGCTGGGATTCTAGACGGGGCCAAAGGAAAATGGTGAAGCTAGTGACGATACAGCTGATGACGACAAAGCGCAGCAGCTTTCTCTTCCCCATTGATGACCGCGGCTTGTCCGCAGGTTTTGCCCACATTCTCGATTTTCCGTGTCTCTCAAGTATAATCCCCGGCAAATGGATGGCTAGAGTAGGACGAAATAATCACAGTGATCGCACTAACAGTGCAAGACCATGTCGAATCTTCCGGTAAGAGGGGACAAAGGGGGTGGTGAGTATCGGGGGGAAGGAGGGGAGGGCCGGATCCTGGGCGAGTAAAGGAGGGAAGATTGGCAGCGAAGAAGGGGGGAAGGAAACGTGGAGAGAAAAACCCAGAGGATAAAATGAACAGCAGACGATCTCTGGACCCCAACGGATGAAGGAAAGAAGAACGCGGAAAGAATGACGAAGGTCAGCGGGCAAGCGACAACGTCAATGGAGCCAAGGTTGAAAGGGAAGGCTGATAGGCGATCAACGGGGCTCCAAAGCAGCACGGCGACAAGAAACACCAAGAAACAAGCACTTGCACGGCTCGAAATTGGTCGGATCTGACCTGGCGGAGACCGGCGACAAGCCAGGGATCGGCCATGCCCTGGACTTTGGGAAGATGGGACGCTGGAAGCCACGGATGGAGTCTACGATGCTTGGTCGAATAAGAGCCGGTCTGGCCGTCAGGGCACACCTGCTCGGTGTCCACTGGGGGCCCTCGATCGGCCATTCAAACACGCTCTAGGAGATTTTAGTCTGATGCTTTCGTCTCCAATGTCTCCAGCGATGGACGGTGACACTCTCCCCCAGGGTTGCGTTAGGGGTCCGCCTTAGTGGTTTACCCTGTACCAGTTCCCCCATCGCCATGGCTCATGGCGCGGTCGCATTCTCGCTTCCGATGGCAAAAGACGCCGCCAGCCAGAGGGTTATCATCTATGGTAGTAGCAGAACCTAACACTGTACACTACCCCTAACTTATTGGTTGGTCTGCTGTCTATTCGGTTGCACTAGGCTAGACATCCGCGGGACAGCCACCGTCGCCGCAGCAGCTGGTGGATGGCACAACCGCCCGTTGATTGACGCGCATTCCACTTGGGGGCGATGGTCCAACCGGGCAGCGGGGGCGGCGGCTTGATGACGACGGCTGCAGGCGAATCGCTTGGCAGTGCGTCTCATGATGGGCTTATCGACTTACTTATCTGGTCGGTAGTGTGTCTGTGTCGCCAACCAGTTGCATAGTGAGAAAAGCCCTGCTGCGGGTTGGCGAACTGACCAACAAGTGGTGCATGGGCATGTGTTCTCGTCTCGAAAGCAAAATAAAAAGGCATCCTTCTGCCAATACAACCTCTGGCACGAGATGTCAAGAAATATTTGATAAGTTGACTGTCGCTTTCTTTTCTAGTGACCACGCGTCGACTCCATCAGGGAATTATTCTCTTCCTTTTGCGAACCACTCGCCGTCGCAGCCTTTTTCCGGCACTGCAGCCTCATGAGATTTGCTCCAGTCGCTTTAATTTCCCATGGCCAACCGCGGTGAATCTGATGGATTTCTATTATCGCTCGTCGTCGGATGAGTTTGCGAGATATGATATGTAGTCTAGCTCCTATGTCTTGGGTAGTGATAATAATAGATGTCGCTAAAGCTAATTAACACCACTAGTTAAGTATAAGCATGGGTTTATATTGCGTGCATGAATTAGTACCACCTATACACAAATTAATTGTGTATTCTGAAGGCAGACGAATACTTTCTATCGAATCTGTGCATCTTGGTTTCATGGATTCCTATACAGTTGCTTCGTTGCCCCAGCTGAACGGCTTATCGTCAAAGGCTGTCTGCTTGTTTTGGTGTAATCTGCCCCTGCATAATTCCATGCAACGTTGGCCAGAGAAGAGTAATCAAAAGCAACGCCGTGGCGCGGTGAGTAAGGGGCATAAAATGTGAAGCACAACGGCCAGTAGTCTAGACCATTACTGGGTCTTATTGTTGCACAACAGGGTTGACATTAGATCAGTCAAGAACCCCCCGACAACTGCATAATTTAGTCATTTCATTTCCGCCTTGAACAAAGTCACATGGGGAGCCGGGGGGCTACGGTGGGCGCTCCCGCACACTTGTGCAGAGTTCCCCAATGGGGAAATATCTCGATCCCGCACACATGGCTTCCAGCGGAGGCCACTTGCCAGATCATCCTCGGCCAGTCTATACTTTCGACTTTACTACTCGCTTATTGCATATGTCCTTTTTTGTGACTCGATAAATAATCCTCCTCTCCTTACCTCCGAGCCCTCGTCGGGCCCCTCATCCCGTTCCGCGTTCCGCCAATTGACACACATTCCGCTATGGCTGCCCAGTCGCTGAGCTCGTTGCTACAACGGGCATCCATTGACGACCACGAGGAAGTCCTGCAGTCATGCAATGCCGCTCTGGCCAAGTCGAAGTCGGACTTGCAGGCTCAGCATATTAAGGCGGTTGCTCTGCTGAAGCTTGACCGCTATGAGGACTGCCTGCGAGTATTCGAAGAAGCCGGTGATGGCTTGAAGAACAGAGCGGCTTTGGAATACGCTTATGCTCTATATAAATGCGGCCAGCTGGACCCGGCAATTGAGGTGGTATCTCGCGTCGCCGGTGAGAGGGGTGCACTGCATTTGGAAGCTCAAGCCGTACGTTGTTACCTTCCAGAAATACCATCTACACCCGGATATCTTCTCTTATAGTGTGTCCGCTCATCCTAACTCTCATCTTCCATAAAGAGCTACCGTTCCGAGAAATTCCGTCGCGCTGCCGAGATTTACGAAGAATTGTCGAAAGACAATGCGTCACTGTCGAACGAAGAGAACGATCTGCGCATCAACTCGTGGGCTACGGATGCTCAGCTGCAGTGGAAGGGCTACCCCCAGTTTGTACGCCATAGCAGGCCGATGCGGGATGATCTAGAGGCATTCGAGACGGTTTATAATGCAGCTTGCTTGAGTATCGCCAAGGGCGAGTTCCAGCAGGGACAAGTTCTATTGACTCGGGCTAAAGGTTCGTGTGCTCAACCCCGCATGACGCACGAGAATAGTAGCTGATCAGCTTTACACAGAGCTCTGTCGTACATCGGAGGATCTCACTCCTGAAGACCGGGCTGCCGAGCTTCTCCCGATCGCCGTACAGCAGTTGTACGTCTTGCTTCGCCAAGGAAAGTCGGAGGAAGCGCAGTCCGTCTTGGAGGAAATTTCCGTCAGCGAGTATGTTTGTCACAGAACCCTAGCTGGACTTGAACATCGGAAGCTCACATATCTCAATAGCATTCCCGAGCTCTCGACGAAGAAGATCGCTCAGACCAACATTACGCTTGCCCGTGGCACCACCACTACCAATCCCTTCGCTCTGTACAAGGCTCTTCACGAGATCCCCGAATCCACCGACAGCGACAAGCTCTTCGAATACCAAGATAACCTTGCGACGGGAAACTCATACTCGGCCGACCTCCTCGTTCAGAAATACGATGGCATCATCCGCTCCACCTCTAAGGCGCTCGCTCAATCTGGCTACCCCTCGACGGAACCTCGTGCCAATCTGCTTTCAGTCTACAACGCTGCCGCTCATGCACGTGGAGAAACAGGCACCAAGGCCCTGAAGCGGATACTATCTGCGCTCGACAGACGGCCCAAGGACCTTGGCCTTGCCCTCACAGCCGTCCAGCTCTACGTGGGTGCGGGCAACACGACGTCCGCAATCACAACACTAGAGCGAACCCTCCAACTGCTCGACGAGTCCATCTCCGAGCAAGACAAAGCAGTCCGCTTCAACCCCGGCCTCTTGAGCATCCTCGTCTCCCTCTACAAGTTGGAGGGCCGTAAAGTCCAGATCCGGACCGAACTCGCCAAAGCCGCAACCTACTGGCAGAGCCAATCCGCCGAACCACCAGCCTCCTTGCTCCGCGCCGCAGGAGCATCCCTCCTGCACTCCTCCGATCGCTCCGACCTCGCCAAAGCCGGCGACCTCTTCAAGTCCCTCTACCAGAAAGACTCGACCGACCAGTTCGCCGTAGCAGGCTACGTCGCCTCTCAGGCAACCATCGACTACTCCAAGGTAGAATCCCAGGTCGACAGTCTCCCCTCCGTCGCGGACCTGATCTCAGGCGTCAACGTCGCCTCCCTCGAAAACGCCGGCATCTCCCCCTCCTCCGGGGCCAACGCCGCCGCCGCCGCCGCCATGGCCGGCGCCCGGAAGAGAAGCGCAAAGGACAAGGAAGACCGCGCAACCAAGCGCGTTCGCAAGGACCGTCTCCCCAAGGACTACGACCCCAGCAAGACACCCGACCCGGAGCGCTGGCTGCCTCTTCGCGACCGGTCTTCGTACCGCCCAAAGGGCCGCAAGGGTAAGCAGCGCGCTGCGGAGCGCACACAGGGTGGTGTGGTGAACGAAAAGGCTGAAGAGTCCCCGGCTCCGCCTACTCAGAAGGCCCAGGGAGGAGGTGGCGGTGGAGGTTCTAGCTCGAAGAAGAATAAGAAGAAGGGCAAGCGGTAGATGCAGTTGATAACCACCGCTTTCCTTTTTCTTTTTTTTTTCTTTCCCTCCCCCTTTCTTTCTCACTTTCCCTCCGTTCTTGCATCGCATTTGCTGGCAGGATACCAAATCTAGTTGTTGTTGTTGCATGTTGCAGAGACGAAGCATGTGGAATGATATTTGATAGTCTCGGGTTGTAGCTAGATAGAGCACACGCTGATGAGTGAACGGCCTCAATCCTCCATCGTGAATAGCAATCTGAGCCGTATTATAATCAATGATATGCATGATACACAATAAAACTGTCCCTTGGATCAACTGCATCCCACTAGACTCCGTGCCGTAAATAGAGACCATAAGCATGATGCACAAGGTAATTAGTATTAAAAAAAAAAACAATCCTAGCTTGATCAACGACCCCGCCTGGCAAACGCAATAGCAATCTTCCCACCATTTCCCTCCACACATGCCCTCAATAATTAGATCACTCGGCAGACAAACAATTCAACCCAATGGAGTCCGAATAGTCCCGCACTGCCGATCATACTGCTCAAAGATGGTCTGAAACAGTCTCAGATCCTGAATCGCATCCTTCGCCGTGGTCTTCACAGCCCTATCCTCCGTCAAATACGCATGCAGCGCCTTCAACTCCTCACGATAGCTCTCCTCCCACGCACTCACCGTCTCCGATTTTTTCATCTCCCCATTCTCATCAACAGTCTCGACAACCACCTTCACCCCGTGCCGTCGACCATACGGCAGGCCGTACTGCACGCTCACGGTCTTAGTATCGCCGTAGATGGTCAGATGCGCATCGCATCGAGGCACCGCATCAGTTCCGGTCTCGTACATCAGCGTGAAGGCGTGTTCGCTCTTTCCGCCACTATAGTAGTGAAAGACAGCAGAGTAATAGGGTTCGTTGACGGAGATGCTGGACACGGCGTCCGGATAGCCGAGGGTATCGCGCATCAGGCCTAAGTCATGACATCCCAGGGACGCGAGGAACTCGCACAGGGCGACGCGCTCTTTGCTGAGGTCTTGGCCGAGGAAGGCTTCTTCGAGGAGGCCCTGGAGGAGCTGCGGGCGGGTTTTTCCGGTCATGGAGTCCGAGGGGGAGGAAGGGGGTGAAATGGGGAAGGGTTGGCCGTGTCCGTTCACCTCGTTCCAGACTTGCTTGCGCGGGGCAGTGGCCGTGTGTGCGGAACTGGGGCCTGCGATGTTGCGGCATCGCGCGTAGTAGATGCGGTCGAGACTGGCGACTTCTTGTCGGAAGACGGAGGCGATGCTGGGGGCGTAGCGACGAGCGCAGGCGACGAACACTTTGGCGCCGTTGGGGGCGTGTTTCTCGGCTTCGATGATGCGTTTGGCGCTGGGGATGCTTAGGCTTAGCGGGGTTTCGACCATGACGTGTTTGCCGGAGTGGAGGGCCGCGATGGTGTAGGTCTCGTGGTACTCGTTTGGCATGAAGTTGAGGATTAGGTCGATGGTTGGGTTGCTGAGGATGTCGTCGGGAGTGGGGGCTATTGGGATGGCGGTGCTGGTGCTGGTGCCGTGCTGCTGCTGGTGGTGGTCATGGTCGTTGCAGATGTTGCCGTTGATGTCGGTCTCGTATGACAGGGGCTGCTTGGAGCCATCGTGGATGGCTTGGACCTGGAACGAGGTGGGAAGCGCACGGAGGGCTGGGAGGTAGATGGCTTGGATGGCTTTGGCGCCTTCGTCTGCGGTGAGGATTCCCACGCGCAGGGTGGTTGAGGTTGAGGACATGTTTTAGTTTATTTGGATGTTGGGTTCTGGTGAGACGCGTTATGGCGAGGTTAGTGTTTGTTTCTTTCGTTTGGTGGAGAGAGTGATGAGAATGTGAATCACGTACTTGTTTTGTATGTAGTAGATTAGTTGTGCTACTTGATGGAACTCAATCGTCAGGGAGGGATAAGAGTGAGGATGAGCTCTGAAGATTGAGCGACGGTGAAGAAAAGAACATGGTCCGAACGTTCGAGGGATGGAATGAACAAGTCTTCCGAAGGGGGAAGTGAGGTGAGCTGGTATGTATGTATGTATGTATGAGGTGCAAAGGGGGTTAAACCGGTAATAATGATACCGACTGGGTGAGCTGCACTCAGTCCCTTGGAAGAAAGTATTCAGCAACACTGCAGTGAGGTGTTTGAGATGAAACAAGGGATAAAGAATAGCTTTGGGGATGCTTTTTTTCAAGGGTCCTCAGGGAGAGTTTGTGCTACTGTTCTTTGAACCTGGTCGCAGGGATGTGAAGCTTTTTCTGCACCGGCGATGGCATGCATGACATCAGTGGCTCACCGTGGAATCTGGTCTTTGTTGCCATCCTGCCCTGTCATCGTCTGTTCTTCGATTTTATGCTTAACGCTCTGAAATGCTCTAGAAGGTCTGATGAAAATGTTATTTTAGACTACACCAGGGGTCCTGATGGTCTGGTCTGCTCCAGCCGAGCTAGTGATGTAGCTTGTTTGGCTGCGCCGATCCGTGCGTTCTGTCTGTGTGTCCCCGATGATGCCTGAGATGAGGGTCCATCGTTGATTCGGCAGATTCTCTACGCTGCAAGCTTATTTCTGACTACTGCATGCAGAGGCATGGTCAACTATGGCCCCCAATCCCATGACAGCCGTGATTCCGAGCACGAAATGGCGAGGGTCAGCTGGGATGGTGATGGCTTGTTGGGTTTGCTGTGAAGTCAGTCTGCAGTCATATTGAGTTATCATGTGCTGCGCTTGGTCGGCTGTGGCTGTACCAGCTACTACTATACATGGAGGCGTAGGTCAATATCGTATACGAACTGTTCTGCTCAAATATGGTGAGAAGAGTGCTTGTCAGCAATTCAGCCTTGCCAGGTTCCAAAAGAATCCATCTAGCCTGATTCTTGAGGCTGGCAGGAAGAACACCAAATGGATGAAATCAGCCCTACGGAATCATCCAGAATGCTTCTGGGGTGCGGGGAACGGGATGTAACGATTGGCTTGTACAGACTTTGGATGTAATGCACTCCTGCAGGGTTCCAACAGGCTATAGTACATTTGTACTGATCTGTAGTTCCCGATACATTTCCTTAGAAACCTCGGGATCACTAGAAAAATTCGTTACTATTATGCGATATTCATCGCGACGATCAATAACTGCCGATTTTCATCATAGAACAAGTAAGTCTTAAGTGAGGGAAACGGGGCAGCTGGGTATAGCTTCAGGACACAAATCACCAGTGGGTCTATGTGAAAAGAGGAAGGAGTGGGCCAGTCGTCATCCCGAGGTCGGCTAGTCCCAGTCCAGCTGTTTTAGCACTTTAGCTCTTGCTTGGATGGATCTCTTCACGGGCAGTGCTTTTATAGTGGCAGTGACGCCGTAGTGCCGTCGGTTTTCTGCTTTCCTTCTGACGCCATCTTTTTTCCACCCATCATCCTATCCCCTTCTCCATTTCTCCCCGATTTATTGTTTTCCCCCCCTGACTATACTTCTTCTATCTACTACCTACTGACTACGTAGTTGGACGTCAGCTGCTTCGAAAAGATGGGGGTGAGTGCCCAACATATTCCTTTTACATCTTGCTTGCTCTTTTTGTTTTTCTTCTCTGCCCCGCGTATCTGCCCCGCTTCACCTCAGGTGTTTCTGTGTTTCTTCTTCTGTTTCTTGAGACCATACTATACTACTATAATTACCCCAAGACTACTATTTAGCCTCGAGCAGGCTGCATCGAATACCACCCAACTAACCGCTGCACCCTGCACGTCCTCTTTTAGTTTGCATCCAAGATCGCCGGCAGTCAAAACCCACCACCCAACAACATGAGCGCAAACAGGCCCGGCGTTTATGGAGGCGCACCTCCGACAGGCTATGCTGGAGGTCCTCCAGCTGCACTGCAGCCTGGCAACAATCCTTCTTCTAGTGGTAATCCTGTGAGTCCCCGCCCTACCGGGCAAAACTAAATCTTTAGTGATCCCCTCCGCCCCTCTTCTCCCGTCCTTTCTTTGAACCGTTCAATTTTATCCCCGGCGTCTTTACCCAGTTCGTTTTCAATTTATCACTTTCCACAAAAAGCTGACGCATCTCTTTGCGACCACCAACAGCAACAGCAACAACCCCAGTATCAGGCTTATCAAGGCTCCCCTGCGCCATCTGGTGGTCCGGTAAGCTAGAACTTGTTTTTTCCTTTTCTCGTGCCTTCTTTCTTTCCTCGATTTTCTCCCCCAATTTTCGCTTTCATTCGGTTGGCACTGCCCCTTCTCACTGCTGGGTCACCCTCTCCCTTCCATCGTGAGAGTTACTCTCATCGAATGAAAGAGAGCCAGGGTTCACCTCCCTCTCCACTGTGGCCCCCTTCTGCCCCTCCAACTTTCTCTTCGCGCCCGTGTCACACTTCTGCTTTTCTATTTCTTGCCCTCCTCGCCCCTTTGCTGGAAATTCTGGACGCCATCTTCAACTATGTCGCGACCTTATTATAACCAATACGGCTATCCGCCTCAGCTACGCCCGGGTTCGGCCCAGCAATCCCCATATCCGACTTCGCCGCCCCCGCAGCAGCAGCAGCAGCAGCAGCCTCAGTATCAAGCCTACGCGCCTTCGTCGGCCCCTCCAAACAAGCCGGTTCCCTCACCATCGCCGGGTCCGCACCCAGCTTATTCGGGTTCTCAATCGCCCTATCCAGGCTCTCAACCATCTTACGCGGCGCCCGCTTATCCGTCGGCATCTCCGGCTCCTCAGGCTTACTCCCCATCGCCCTATGGGTCTCAGGCACCACCGCCGCAGGGCTATTCGCAACCACCTCAATATGGTACTAGGGAGCCTCCATCCGGACAATATGGACAATCACAGCAGGGCTATAACAGACCCCCGCCTCCCCCGCCACAAACTCAGCCCTATGGAGCTCCTGGACCGCAGTATCCTCCACAGCAAGCCTCTCAAGTACATACTATATCCCAGATACCCGCATTTGTTTGCCAATGATCTGCAGTCGTGTTTCTCGCGTATTCGCTTAGCTTTGACTGTGGTGTGACCGACATGCTAATTTGATTCAATGGTTTAGGGCCCCTCCTACCCCCCGCAGAATGCACCTTACCCCGGCGGACCTGGTGGACCGGGAGCGCCTTACGGTGCCCCTGGAGGTGCTCCTCCCGCCGCCCGCGCATCCGACCAGCAGATCGCTGCCTACAGACAGCTCTTGATCGGAACTATCCAGGAGAAACGACTCCAGAGCTTCTGGCCCCCAGAGAGACTGGATCGATTGGTTCAGACGCTGGCCAACGAGGCCCCAGGAAAGGTCAACAAGCTGATGCACGAACTCCGTGTGCCCCAAGAGGTGGCTATGGACATTATGAAACTGTCTCTGTTCGACGTCATCCTCTATGTTGATGACAGCGGCTCCATCGAATTCGAAGAGCGCGGCGTCAGAAAGGAGCAGCTGGTGCAGATCATTGAAATTGTTGCTGCTGCAGCATCTACTTTCGATGAAGATGGCATCTCGGTACGGTTCATGAACAATGCGGAGCAGGGAGATGGAATCCGCAACGCAGAGGATGTTGGCCGCCTTGTTTCGCGCGTCCGCTTCCAAGGCCTTACTCCCCTGGGAACCAGCTTGCGCAACAAGGTCCTCGATCCCATGGTTGTCGGCCCGGCCAGAGCAGGTCGCCTGCAAAAGCCAGTTCTTGTCATTACCATCACGGATGGACAACCCGCCGGAGAGCCTCTTGATAGCGTCTCTAGCTCTATCGGCTACGCCGTGAGCGAGGTCGCTCGGACTCAATATGGACAGGGTGCCGTTTCTTTCCAATTCTCGCAGGTGGGCAATGACACCAAGGCTCGGGATTTCCTTGCCTCGCTGGACGAAGACCCGAGAATTGGCTCGTTGATTGATTGCACTTCCAGTAAGTCCACTTACGCTAGTAGAGCCCTTTGAGCATAACAGATTTACTGATGTTGTCAACAGACTTTGAGGTTGAACAGGATGAAATGTCACGCGCTGTGCCACCCGTGTACTTGACTCGTGAACTCTGGGTATGTTCCAATTCACACATCACACTGCAATTTATTAACTATTCTAGTGTGCTAAATTAATGCTTGGGGCTATTGATTCCTCGTACGATACCAAAGACGAGAAGGCCGCTGGCAGAGCTGGTGGAGCCGGTGCTCCCCCGTCTGGACCTCCCTCTGGGCCTCCCTCTGGGCCTCCCGGAGGAGCGCCCCGGGGTGGACAGTACGGTGGTGGCTACAGTCAACCCGGATATCCCCCTGCTCCCAGCTACGGTCAACCTCAGCAGGGCTACGGAGCTAACCCAGGCTATGGCCAGGGATACGGCCAACCCCCCTACCAGAGCCAGGGTCAGGCCCCAGCACCGGGATATGGCCAGCAATACGGTGGTGGATATGGTGCACCCTCTCCTCACCCCAACCAGCCTGGGTATGGACAGTCCTCTGGCGCGCCACGAGGCTACTCCCCCTACCAGGCACCCCAGCCACCCAGGTACTGATAGACCATGTTCGCTTGTCTTATGAGATGGAATTGCAAGGCAGGGGCGCAAATGTGAACTCTCTTCTTATTCTTAGTGATTGTTGTTTTATTCAGACGTTAGCAAGCAGAATTCCGTAGGCGGGAGAACATGGCTGGCATGGCGGGCTAGGAGAAGGGCACGGATAGACCCAGTTACATGATTAGCTTATTTGTGAAGCAAAATTGAGCCATGGAATAATGATACTTCCGTGACCACACTTATCTGACTCTCATCGATTATTGATTGACATGGGATTGACATGGACCAGTGTCGCGATCTTCAAAATCTCCCTACCAACGACGACGTCATCCCTCAGCAGGCCCGCCCCGCAGTCATCACGTGCACCAATCACGTTACACGCTGAGTCAGCTGCATAGTACCCACCCATTCCGGCATCCCACATCGTTGAACGCCTTGCATATGACTTCCACAAGTAACGTATCCTCCCCGAGAAGCACAATACATGACTGCCTAGTATCTATCCTAGCCCTTGAAAACTCTCATATCCTCTCAAATAAGAAACATCTTATCTATCTATCTATCTATTAAATGAATACATCATGATCATCGTCCATCAGACGGCCATAATTTCCCTGTTTGCTGATATCAAGACAGACAGACAGGAAGGCTACTAGGCAGCTGTTCAAACCAAGTTTCTTTATTTATCGCCCATGGGTAGTGAGCGAGTGTTGTAGTGACAGTAATACTTACTTACTTTCTACTTAGTTACCGCGCGGTAATAACCTCCGCCGCCTAAATGATGTGTGTGTGTGTGTGTGCAGGGTAGCGTGGGATCCAGGGAACTGGATGGACCGTATGGTATGTCAAGGGTGGGGAGGACAGGAACAAGGAATATATCTATGTTTCGAGTTGTTGAGTGGTATACGCATATCTGGGGTGTTGGGGCCGTGGTTGGGGTGAGTTCGGTTTGGTAGACTATGGGTTTTTTCTTCGGTTTAGGTTTTATGGAGGGAAAGGGGAACATGAAGTTCTTGAGGAGAAGGTTTTATAATAGTTATAGATGGAAATAGATTGTTTCTGAAAGATGATCTGACAAAAACTAAGCTAGAAGCAATTTGAACGCAATCAACGGTCGAAAGAAAAAGTCATGCTTCAACAAGACACCGATGTCCCTTGGGTGCAGCTAAGAAAAAGCTGCGCAGTTCCATATCATCATCACACATCCCTTCGCGAGTCGACATCCTCACTTCAGGGAAAGCGCGGAAAAACAGAGCCGTGGCAAGTCGTAGTTCCATGCGGGCTAGATGAATTCCAAGACAAGCTTGTTGCATGGGTTAGCGTCGATACATTAACACATTGTGTGAAATGATGAATACTCACTGCGAGATCCACCCCCAAAAGGTAATGACGCATCTTCCATCTCCTTGGTAGGCGAGGCCCATCGTTCCGGGTAGAAGTTGAGTGGATTAGGAAAGAATCTCGGATCCCGATGCATACTATATGCTTGTGCAGATACCGTTGTCCCTCCAGGGATGTTGAATCCGGCCAGGTGAGATCCCTCTTCAGGGACGGTCCTCGGCAATGCTTCCGGAACGGCTGCGTATAGTCGCAATGTCTCCTTGATAACCTGATTCAACTAGGGTAAGCTGCGGGTGTCTCGATCAGTGAAAGTCTCCGGAAGCTGCTCCATCAGCTCGGAAACAAGCTTATCGCGGATACGACGGTCTCTGCAAACTGCATACACGAGGTATGTCAAGGTTACGGCGGTTGTGTCGCTGCCGGCCCCGATAAATCCGCGAGCCTCGTTGCAGATTTCCTGTTCTGATAGGCCACCCTTGTCGCCTGCATCGATAACTTTGGTGAATAAGGTGTGCTTGGCATTTAACGGATCCTTAGCAATGAAGGCTTTATGGCGTGCGACGGACTGTCGTGCATAATCATTCAATCTATAGCTTGCTTGTACCATTTTAGTAAAAATAGGCAGAGGAAGCATGGCGCCAGCTTTCATCAAGAACGGGAATGTTGTCCGCATAGGTGATATTGTGCTCAGTTGCTCCAGATCAATGCTATACTGAGTTTTCTGAACGACTAATATCAGTCCATACAGTTGGGCTAGCTGGAATCATAGATCATACCTCTCCTTTCTCCAACATACGAAAGGATTCACCAAAGCTCATTTCCCCAATGATATCCGTCGTCATGAATAGCCACCACTTGAACACGTCCAGCGAGCCTTTTACTTTTAGTTCATGGGACATCTTATCAAGAGTAAGATAAATCATTTCCCGGATTCGGGGCTCTAAACGGGTCAAAGATGAATCTGAAAGTGGCGGCGCGAGCAGACGTCGACGGAAAGAATGAATAAGAGGGTCGGGGGTGGAGATAATGTTCTCGAGAAGGGGAGGAACGAGAAGTCTATACCAATTTGACTTATAAAAGCGACTGCTGGTATTGTAGATTTCTCTTGCCGCACGAATATCGCATATATCAACTTCGTTGGGGGAGACACGGACGACAGGGCCTAGAGATTTGCGTTGATGTTGCACTTCGAAAGTATATGGTAGTAGTACAAGGACACCCACCATATTGTTTGTGAAGTTCATCTACATAAGTTGCCCTCTTGCCAACCAACCAATAGTAACTGACTTTCAAGCTAGTCCATTGGGAGAGATATGGCCCTGGAATGTGAGACAATGGGTTTATGAGACCTTCGTAGAAATATTTCTAGATTGTGTTAGCGTGAATCGTGGTAATAGTTGGATGGTCATAGTCAACCCACTAATAGTATAGAAACGGTGAGGACGCCAATCAAAACAAGTATCATATTTGGGAAGCGAAAGGGAAAAGGAAATAGAAAGACTTCCGAGATTTTAGACTAGAATTCTGAGTAACGTCACGTACTTTCAGTTCCGAGGCTCTCAATATAGCCGCAACTGGGGCATCGTGAAGAGGGCGGGAAGGGGGCCCCATTTGATATGAAGCATCTCGATGTAAGGGGGTCAATCGACTCATTATTGATTCAATGCAATGATCCCTTAAAGTCTGATAAAGACGCCAAGTCTAAGGGCCGCGCTTTCCTAATCAATTGTTCCAAGCTTAGGAGTTGCCTGTGCCACTTCCGTTCAAAGCGACGTACATGTCAATGGCGCTCAATGTGAACAAGTCTCGCCAACAATTTCCAGGCCCAAAAACCCTCTTTTTAAGTTAGCGGTCATTCCATCAATGACATCGGCCCCGAAGCTGTCGAGTGTGAATGTCTCATTTGCGTTCATGATAATATGCTTCATATTCTGAACTTCGTCTTGTTGGAACATGTGGCCAGCTCTTGCACTTTCTGTGTCGACGCCGAATTGCTCATGATCAATTTTCTGAAGGACACGAACACAAAACTCGATGGACTCCTGAACCTCTTTCTCGGCAATTTTTTCATTCGCGTCAACTGTTCCTTGAATTACTAGATAGTCCAGACTTAGCTAAGAACCTCCCATAAAGGACTGGAGTCAGGTAGCTTACTCGGCCGGAATATGTCAAAAGCTCGATCAAAGCTGTTCTCGCCGAGCTCATTAAGTATAGGACGGTCCTTGTGGGTCATTTGACCATATGCACTGCTCACAACTAGCAAGAAGCGTGTGTATGCCTCGCGAACTTTCTTGGAGTGCCACTCACCGCCAGCCCGCTCGCTGCACTGGCCCTTCGTGGACGCACAAATTGTGATCGCCGCAGACAGAGCCCCAAGAAGAGCAAGGTGAACGCCAGATGAGAAGAGTGGGTCGATGAAGCACCCAGCGTCCCCAATTATGCGCACGTTGGCATCCGCATAAGAGGACGCATTATACGACCAATCCGACGCGGATCTGACCTCAGAGACGAGCTCCGCACCTTCTATAAGGTCCATAATCCCAGACACTTCATGCAGACAGCTTAGAAAGTAGTCTTTGGATGATGGCGATCCCTTTGCTTGCTTTTTCGCCTTGACAATGTTCTGGTGTTGAACAACACCAACGGAGGTTGTTCCGTTGTGAAGGGGAATCGCCCAGGTCCAGCCGGAAGCGTCTGCAGCATTGATTAGTCTCTGTTTGCTTGGGCTGGTCTAATAGAAGCAGATAAACTACCTTCGAGACGACTGAAGTAGGGAGAGCCTTCCATAGAGGTGCCTACACCATATGTTGCAGCTTTTTTGAAGTAGCCCCATGTGGCCGTGTTTTTCAGCCCTTCGTTGTACCGTCGATTCTTCAAATACTTCGTGCTCATTAATCCGGCTCGCCCACTTGCGTCCACCAGATATTCAAACCGAATGCTCCCGGTGCTTCTGTCTCTTCGTGTCCAAGATGCAGACTCGGGAGCGCGAACGCTGCCGTTTACTGACGGCTCAGTCGCTTGAAACTCTAAGGAAGTGACCTTCACGCCATCAAAAGTTTTGCAACCGCACTTTCCGGCATAACGGAACAGTATGCTGTCTGCCTCGGATCGTAACACATTCCAAGTGTAGTTCTGCGGGCCTCCGGCCTTGAGAAAATCGGTATCTAATTGCCCTTTAAAAAGCGCCTTGTCGGGGGTGGTATAACAACATGCATCCTGGTGGCTTGCTGTTGAACTTAAACGCTGCCCCCTTCTATACAGGAATCAACTAGTCGCTAAAGATTTCCATTAAGCGACATAGACTTACCTTCATGTTGAATCCATGAGCTTCAAATTCAGGCAATGCACCGTTGAATTCTAAGAAATGCCTCAAGGATGGCAGCATACTTTCTCCAATGTGGTATCTACGACCAGACAGTCAGAAGTAGGCCTTCAAAGTGAAAGGGGAGTTTTAGAGAGCTGAATCTCAATTGACCTCGGGAAAACATCGGCTTCCAATAATACGGTATCAATTCCTTCTCTGGCAAGCACAGATGCGGCATATGATCCTCCTGGGCCACCGCCGATCACGAGAACCGTGCATTCCGCTGGTATAGACATAGTATTGGCTGCCAGGTCAAGTATACCAGCAGGATTAGGATACTAGAAGACTATGAGGCGTAGTGAGATTAAGATGAATCCTAGTAAATCAAAAACCGGTAACCGATCTTGCGGAGATAAGCTGAGGGATTATATCATGCAGCGATATGTGGTCTATTATACATGAACCTTGATTGAATTGCACTACCATGAGCACTTTCTTTGCAGCTTAACCTTTCCTTTCCTGCAAGGTAGATGTAAGGGTCACTAGTCTTTTAACACTTGCAATAGGCATTAGTCATGGTATATTCGGGCATCTCTATGCTATACAAGGTTGCTTGTAAAGGATCGAGGAACTAGTGAATGGTATGGTTGTATGGTTAATGATATTTATAGGTACTACATGTGTCGGTAGACAAGCCAAATATAAAATGTTATTGTTGAAATTACGTAGTTGGAGTACTAGTAGTTAGTAGTATTAGTAAAGGCTGTCTTATGGTAGAATTACGCTATATATGCTTAGTAGTAGTACTACTTTGTGACCTCAATAGCTGGCAGTAGGTTGATCTATGAATGCGATTCATGATTCTCTAGTTTCTTCAGGGAGAAATCTGTAACAAAAATTAATGTCTTTGTCCATCTATTCTGTCTACGGGGTCTACTTTGTCGCGATTCGATAGTTTGATGATGCCTATCATGTCCCCTATAGGTTTTTCGGGAATGTAGATGCCTTGCGTTTAGTACTACCTAGACATCACGAGTTACTATGAGGCACATCTATTATTTAATCAGGAAGCGGTCAGGAGTGTTTCGTGCAACATGATGGACTTGTTGGGGGGAGTGGGGCAGAGGGGTTACTACTGTCTTCAGCTGTCTGGTTCTCAGTTACTTACTTTCTTTTCACGCGTGCATGAACATGACGGTGAGCGAATACATGCAAATAATGTAAAAAGCCGAGGAATAAATGCCCCGACTTAGAGCATTAGCGTAGTCGTTGTGTACTTCCTCACAGGTCATTCTTTCTATATTCCGAGGTCCCTGGGATGATACGGATGGAAGGGAAAGTGAATCAACCAATCAATCGAATCATATTCGCATGATTATCTCATGCATACGATTGTCATATCTATGATTTCAATACATCATATATATCAAACTTTTTTTTTATCTCTCCTCACGTCCTCCCCGCGGAGTGCTGACAAAAGTGGCTGGGCTGCAACACCGATCTACTTGCAGTACGTAGATGCAGGAAGAACTAAAACCATACACTGTTGAGAACATTCCATGAGGAAGATTTATCGAGTGACAGGTGCTCTAGCATTCCTAAAAAGTATATTGTGGCCACTTCTTCTTGATAATATTCTACTAGCTCTTTGATCGATACTGATGTAATCGAGAGCTCAACATACAAGTGCTATATACAAACTACGACTTGATAGGCACTCTGAGTGGTTTCCATGTGCAAGTTGAGTAGAACCATAGTGTCACTCTGAGTATCGCATGTCATTTTTCTATACCCATGAATGAATACGATTATTACTCTCTAAGCGGTCCCACTGATGGTGAACATATTGATCATATAAGCATTACACTGGTCCGCCTTGCATACCCAAGTCCGTGATAAACGGATTGATGGTCTGATAATTGAGGGAGCGCTTGAAGGCTGTGAGGTAGACTGATTAGCATTGAACCCCAGTAAGACTGTTGACAAGAGTGCCAACCAAAAACAGGAATTAGTAGTTGATGGATCTATCGAGATCATATCTATCAGGATAGAACTGACAATCTTCACCACCATGACTGACTATAAAGTTATTGGTAGTTACTACAGCAGGCAGCCAAATAAACATGGTGAGAGATACGAAGTAGATGGGATAAGAATAGATAGGCTACCATCAATTAGAAAGCTAAAGAAAAGTGCCAGGCAATAAGATAAGCTATGAGAGGCAGGCGGTCAGTAGTGGCAGGTCGGGACCCTGTCAAAGGAACTGCTTATCCATGGTTAGAGCGGATGTTGAATGGAAAAGAATTGGAAATGTGGCAAATCTGACTGCTTGACCGTTGAATCCACCACACACACTTACGTACACTGGAGTAGTGCCAGTGGCGTGATAAGTAGGGAAAGCAATCAGATCAAAGCCCTGTCAATGGCGGGGATTAACCAAGTGTCTTAAGTGACAGGGGTTCTTCCGCCACTGAGAGGTTATTCCGAGAACACCACGGACAGTGTGCAGTGCGTCTGTATGTGAAGACAGGGTGTTACAATAGTAATCAACTAATGTGATCTTAAGATAAGACATACAAAGTCCGAAGATCTGATCGCAATGTTACTTACTGTAGGAGGTGATGAACCCTGGAAATCGACGAGGGGCAGTGCAGTCAGAAAAGGCCTAAAAGAACTTGGAACGAGAGGATGGATGGTTTGCGTGGCCCCCAAGCCACGTTCAAAGCCGACGGCGACCGATGAGTGGCCCGCCGCCAATTAAGGTGCCTCCGCAAATTCCCCATCGGGTTCCAGTTTTGGGTTCAGGCCTTCATTCGAGACTCCCTTTTTTGCCTTCTGGCTCGCCTTCTCGACGGCTCTTCTTCTTCTGGTTCTGGTTCTTGTTCCTCTCCCACTTGAAGTTAGTCCGTTTCCCAAAAGAGCTTACCCTTTCCCTCTTCCTCTTCCTCCTTTTTTTTGTCGCTTCTATGCTCTACTCTGCTCTTGCATTTGCAGTCATTCTTTTTCCTGCTTGCATCCAAGTAGTCTTCATTTAAAATTAAAATCCGGCTGCAGTCAAGTGGCGGCGGCTCTATTGTTATTTCGGCCGTCTTACCGCTTCCGGCTGCCTCATTTCGTATTCGCTGCAGCTGAACAAAACAGAGTCAGGACAGCTGAACTCACTTAGTGGTTGGTCTCTCTTTCTCTTTTGCTCGCCGCCTGCGGAAAAAGAAGTTCCTCTTGACGTCTTCCCATATCCTTGTCTCTTCTCAACTCTCCGCGTGGCCTTTTCCTTCCCCTCTTTACCCCCCAATCCCCCTCTCCACCCTCTTGTCCATTCTTGTTCCTTCTGTTAACTCGGTGGAACTCGCTCCCCACAGTCGTTTCCGCCTGTTTCACTTCCAGCCATCTGCCATCATCGTCTTGGCTCTCGCTCTGGTTCACCTCCCTATCGCTGTGACGAACCTTCTCCTTTTCCAGTCTACCTTTGCGCGAGTCGCTTGTACGATATCCATCGCTGATTTACTTTCGGGGGGCTCTCATATGCTGGCATAAACGAATCCGTTGTCTTTGGCTGGTTTTTGGGGCTCGAAGAATGAGTCAAGGCTTTCGTCATACAGGAGATACGACTACGACCGATTCGCAATCTGATTATTTACCTTCTGCCTCGAGATTCGAAGTGAATTGATAGAAACGCAAGGAGACGGATATTGTGGCACCCACATCACTCTGGACATTTTGCGATCCCGCCATGTCCCATCATGATGATGTACCCGAGTCCAATCACGGTCCGCAGGAAAGCACGTCGGCGGAACATACAACCGGAGGAAATGGCGGCTCGACTCCAGTACCGCAACTGCCACGGAGCCAGTCCTTGGATATAAATCGTGCTCAAGGCGGTGCAGTCCTCGGCCGACCGTCCCTTTCTCCATCTCGAACCGTGTCGGATGCTGGCCGAAGATCATCGCAACATCATGTCCGTTTTTCGACCGACTTGGAGCGTCCGGCCCCGGAGCAAGTTCGAGGTTCGGACACCGACCGACGGCCCGCGTCCAGAGGGTTAACAATCAACACAAATCTCGCTCAATTGCAGGTGCCTTCATCGGGCAGGTCCCCAGGACATAGCGCAACCTCGCCTTTGTCGCCCAATTCGACATTGTCCCCTCCCTCCCCACAAAGTCCGGAATCTGGTGGTCGTTCGAGATCGCGTCATCGTGGGTATTCGCTGCGACGGACGATCTTCGCAAAGAATATTGAGTCCGCTGTTACGTCTCCGAATACGATCGAGCTGGGTCAAGCCCATGCTGTTAGCCCACAGGAAGGCGCCTCTGCTGATGTTTCCGAGCGGAAATCGGAGGAGGTGCCGCGCCAGTCCACTGAAGATGAGAAGCAAGACGTTCTAGTAACGCAAAACTCCGCATCCGATCCAAACCTGGATCTGTCGACGACGTATTACTCGGAGTCTTCAGATAACCTCAAACACAGCATGCACCTCTCCACAAGTGTCTCCTATGAGAAATGGCTCAAGCGGAGGGCCGTCGTTGCCACGCTGATGCTTCGTCTGGAGGACATGCTCGAGACGGCACGTAAAACCATCCTTCGTATCAAAGACATTCCGCCCAGCAAAGACGGTCGGCACATTGACCTTGACGCGACTCGCACCGAAGCCCTGGTCGATGAGAGAACCGGAAACCCCTATGTCGGAAATTCCATCCGTTCCAGTCGTTACAGCTTTTGGAGTTTCTTTCCCCGCCAACTGTTCGCGCAGTTTACGAAGCTGGCCAACTTCTATTTCCTTATTGTTGCGATCCTACAGATGATTCCTGGTCTGAGTACCACCGGTTCATTTACCACACTCGTGCCGCTGCTGATCTTCGTTGCTATTTCAATGGGCAAAGAAGGCTTCGATGACTGGCGTCGCTATCGCTTAGACAAGGAGGAAAATAACCGTTATGCATTTGTCCTTCGCCCCGGTGCAGGTATGCCTCCCCAGATGTGCGCTAGCGACAGCATGTCCGTTTCAAGCGAGT